TCCACCTAGTAGCTTCTTGTTACTAGTAGCGATGGCCTCCAACCCAATAGCGATGGCCTCCAACCTAGAAGCGATGGCCTCCAACCTAATATATAGTATATAGCAATCGGTGGAGTTCAGCTTTTGTCCTTCTTCAACAACTCCACTTCTTGTCATTCTGATCTTGAAGGCTAACTGCAAACTCCTCTGGAAGCATTTCGTGCTTGCTCAGCGAAACCTCACCAATTACATATACAATAAGAATTCAATCTGAGCCACGCGTCAACTTAGGTCTCCAAATCAAGTCACACATTCCAAGTCCAACATCGGAAATGCCAAAAACACCCCCTTCTGCCGCTGCCTCCGCTGCGTGTCAATGGGCAACGTCTCAAAGGCCCGGGAGGCATCGGCGAAGCACGTGTCGCCCCCCGTCGGAGGGACTTGGATCGCATACCTCGGATGTCCCCAAAGGCGCAGGTGCCTCCTATTCAACTCAGGGAGCTCTGGGAAATTCCTTCAAAAATGCAGCCCTGGGAGAGGCTCAGGAGCTCTTGTATACTTCCAGCTTGGTGCCTGTGACTCTTTGTTACATGCAGCTAAGCCTGCCTGCAGATCTAGCCTTCTGGTTGAAGCAAGTTCAACAATGGCATGTCCAAACATCAGGATCACGTCATGTCATAGCTCATCTGAAATACAAGGCAGAGCCCGTTGGTGGCCGCTGGCGGAAGGTCCCATCGGTGTGCCAGTTCGGCTGTTTGGATTCGCAATTAAATTGACACGCCTGCGGCTCGAACCAAGTCTGATTGCACTGAATATGTCAGAAGTGAACCAATCTCTGAGAATCTTCGAGAGGTCTAGGCTAGGCCCGGCTGTTCCGTTGCTGGTGAACCAATCGCATGTCATTTAGAAAGATTGACAGAATCTTGGAGACACTGTTGAAGCTTGGGAGAGCAACATCTGGAGAGAGATCTCTAAACTTGGTTTTCGCAAGAGAAAGAACGTCGAACCCCAAACAAGGCCGTAGGTCCCATCGGCGATTGAGTTACAAGGCCGAGCCCGTGGGCGGCCGTGGCCGGTAGGTCCCATCGGTGTGCCAGATTGGCATGCCAGTGGACCGGTCAAAGCGGCAGGCCTCCGTGCCAGTCCTGAGCAATGATAGCCCTGGAAGGGAGCCCTGAACTTGAGCCAATGATAGCCAATTCATGGGTAGATTGGTGGATTGTTTTGCATAGTCTTTATACCAAGCAATGATGGTTGTGACTTGTTGGGACATACTTTACTTTTTCCTCGGGTTCAGCATGGGGCTTTTCAACACAATGGACCTGTACACTGTACATACATTGCCTCCTGAAGGGTCCTGGCAGGCTTGAAACATTTCTGCTACTTGGTAGCTGTGGCACAAAAAGTTGGAGGACATTGCTTGAAGCTTGTCGTACGTCTTACTTCTTTGACTTTGCCTGGCCGGGATTGCGCAGCCGCCTCTGGATCTCTTGGACGGGAACCGTTCTCAATATCGGTTCCAGAACACGTCTGATCTTTGCCACGCAGGCTGCACGAGAGTCCTTCATCTCTTCATTGCCGCCCAGAAACTGCCAATCTCCGCAGTAATGAAACAGGTGACCGTTGCCGGAAAGGAAGAGTTCCGGGTCAAAAAGGATTCGCACCTGGCCATCCAGCTTTTGGCCCACGGCTTCAGGATTCGCAAGCCAAAGATCTAGTTCAGTTTCGATGGGAATTCCAAAAGGCCTGCTGTGGTAGACATAGTTCTTTACGACCTTCTTGGAGATGAAGATCTGGAGCATGTGCCCACCCAGGCTCTTGAGCGCAGGGCAGGCTTTGTGGCTGTAGCCACCCACTTGAAGGCCAAATTGTGCCCCAATCATGCTCAACTCATGTACCACATCTTGAGCCTTTGCACCCTGGATCCAGCACACATCTTTGAGGAGATTAGTGATCAACTCGCGGAACGAGACACCGCACCCATAGCCTTGTCGAAAGCAACGTAGAGGTGGGGCTTCAGAGCCAAATGCAAAGAGGGTGGGAGAGGCAGAGATTGCTAAGGATCGAAACCATGGATCATGATCCTGACCCTTGATAGCTGCATAGGAAAGCTTAAGTTTCTCCAGAGTGGCATTTGTAAAGTGACCCAGCAAAACACGCGGTAGCGGTGCAAAGGTGTCGGGCAAGTCGAAGGCATATCGGGCTATCTCCGCTTGCACCTCATAGAGCAAGGCAGCATCGTTGTAGTGATGGTAGAAAACACAAAAGTCATCATCCATCTCCTGCTCCCTCTGCACCATTCTCTCGAAACAAGCGGCAGCGAACGCTGCTGTGTTGTCTGTACCCACGTGTTGAAGGATAATTTTGGCTGCTTCTTCAATCTTTGATTGGGGCGAACGAAGCGTTCTCAAAGATTGGCAAGTCCGAGAATAATCAACATGACACCGAATTTCCCAACCATCCTGTGTGTTATATCCTCCTCGTGCCCCAGGATGTTTGCTCTGCTGACTCTGCTTCTGGGATCCTTCTGCTTCTTCTGACGCTGCTGCAGCGAGGGCTTCTGTCAGGACTTCAGGAGATATACCCACATCAGATTCCAAGCCCAAGTTCCCAGTGCCAACTCTGGCAGGGTCAAACTTCCGAATGGGCCCCTCTTCTGGAGCATCCTGACTTTTTTGGGTCACCGGCTCGACCGGCTCCGCAGACGCCGGCTCGACCGGCTCCGCTGACACCGACACCGGCGGATGGTCGACCGGCTCCGCCCGTTCTGCAGCACGCAAAATCTCCACGGCGACATCGAAGTGGCCGCTACGTGCAGCTTCACTCACCTCCTTCAGCCCGGCGGATGGAAACATGGAAAGCAGCGCAAACCGCAGCTCCTTCTCATGGCTCGAAAGAGAAGGCATGGCAAGTGCAGCCCTTTCAAGGATGACACACAAAGGGTTTGCGCTGGGCGTGCTCTAACAAGAGAAACAGAGTCAAATCACCCGTTCAAGCTCAGCCTTCTTGGCCAATATGTTCATATATATATATTATATAGATAGATATAAATATATACTGATACTGACTGCTGATAACATGCTAGCCTATCAGCCTCAGTTGCCTCAGAGCTCCGTCGGGGTTCTCTTTTCGTTTCACTACTCAGGTGCTGTTCCTTTGCTCAGCTCTGGCGATGAACCGCACAACTCATAAACCCAAGACTTGAACCAAGCTATCAAAAGGACGTGCACGAAGATTAGCTAGAAACATGCCATCATCTGGAATTTCCAGATCCACACTGGCATGGACAGGCATACAGCGGGTAGGTTCATGACCTCATTGAGCTCATGGCAACAAGCATGCTCCTGCATTTCATCATGTGGTGCGCAAAAGAAGCGAAGTGCCTCTAATCTCACTTCACAGACTCCAAACGTCTCCAAAACAATCGGTCCTGAAAAAGAGCTACACCATGATCCAGTCGCCAACAACAACCCTTGACAACCGTTTGACTCAACCCTTAGGTTGGAGGCCATCCCTATTACTCTGCCAGGTGACGCGCTCCGCAGCAGTGCAGATGCCGTGAAAGAGCCGTTGGGCTCACCCGTCGCAGGATCGCGGCTGTTGCCGAGCCTGGGGAGGAGCGGCAAAGTGGAGGGCGGCGGCGGAATGCATTTGTTGAGCAGTTGAAGAAGATCTTCAATGACCCATCTCTTTGGTTCCATATTCAGTGTGTAGCTATCTCTTGATTCCATCTCTTTGTGGAACCACAGCTCTCTTGATCTGCAGCCGATCATGAGTTCCTCTGTCGCATCCTCCAACTCTCCTGTCGACCCCGTTCGTGTCTTGAAACCTGCCTCATCACTACGCCTCTTCTCGAGTGACCCGGCGTGGTCTGGACCTGTGCTTTGACGCGGGAAGCTGCCAAAGCTTCTTCCACTTCACCAAAGGCGCCGGTCAGATCGACTAACCTAAGTGCATCCAGTAAGGCTTGTCTGAGGAGCAATGTCAAGTTCCTCCCACACAATTGCATTTTCTGTTGGCATTTTTGCAATGGCAACATCAAGACTCCCAAGCACGCTCATCTACTCAATACAGGACCAATGGCTGCAATCAGATTGCAAATTCCAGGCCTAAGCAATCACATTCTCGCCCAAACAAAGCCGAGAACCTATGACAACTTGAGGAAAAAAATCCGCCCGCACCGAAGGTGCTGAGGCGTTTTATAGGGCATGCTTGCAATCCGTTAGTATCGTCAGTATACAATAGCTTTAGCTAGGGGGGGGGCCATTTTTGCTCTAGAATCCTGTGCTTTTTCACGTTTTTGGAACCGGCTTAAAGTGCTTTCGCGCTAATGTTGGGTATCTTGAAGGCTTTAGGGATGCAAGAAATGCAAGTTTCTGCTTTGCATCATCTGCATCATCTGGACATTTGGCTGAACAGGTTCCCCTAACGGGGCTCAACATAGCTTCCATATTGCGTAACCACTATCTAACGGACGTGTCTGCGAGATAGGGACTTGAACGTCCGGGTACGTGGCTGGTCAG